AAAAAAAAGAAACAGCTTAAATCCTTAGAGTTTAATTTAAAATCGTTGACATACCCCGGTCACAACTTGCGATGCTATCGAACTGGGTAATGTGGTTGGTGAAGAAAGATGAGCTTGTAGGCTTACTGGAGCCGCACTTTGGTCATTGATATCATCCAAAATGAATTCTGACAGCAATGAGTCCACCTGTAAAGGATATATGGAAAAACAGATGAATAATCTAAAGCCTAATACTTAAAATGCTAACCTCAGCAAGGCCAAAGAACTTTGTTAGTGTCATATTTTCAATCAGCAATTGCGTCAAAGCTTTCAGTGCTGGCGCCAGTAACAATATATTTCCATATCTTAACAAGGATTGTTTAAGATCAATAAATGTAATCAATTAAATTAGTAAGCGAAAAAAGCAGTTTACCTCGTCGGTGCCTCATCACGATTGTTCTCCACGATGAAAGCGTACAGTGCTTTAAGCACTCTGTTTCGAGCTTCTCTCACCAAAGTTTGACTTTGTGGAGACAAACCTTTCGCTTCTGGATGGAGAAAGGCAAGCGCCTAAAATATTTCTTTACTTTTCAAAAAGTAGAAGTTAGTTAACGACAGGAAGGACCTAAAATGTTTTAAAAAAATGAAGTGCGAATACGATTTAATGTTATATCAACGTAACTCGAAGTTGTTGCATTGTGCCACACAGGCACGGCATTGTGTTTCAAATTCTAATCTCGTGAAAAAAAAACACTGATTTACATAGAAAAGTTTTAGAATAAAAGCTTTTTTTACCTTTAAGCATACAAATTCCTCCTCTCTCATTTGAAGTTGACGCATTGGCCAGACAATTTCGTCAAGAACCCTATAACATTCAGAAAATCTGTTTAATTATACATGCAGTGAAGTCGCAATTACTTTACCCACCTTGGTGTAATATTGCTGGTCTTGAATGCAGCAAATCCATTCAATTCAGTTGACTGATCACGACTCATATAGGTATTGTTGAAAAGGCAAACTCGAGTCGTATCAGGACTTCTGAAATACCCATTTTACAGCAGGAACTCTAACAACTTAGTGATAAGCTATGGATACCTAAACGCTGGCATCAGGATCAGATGCTGAGGAGCGTAGTTTTTCAAAAGTATGATCTTATCCTCCATGATCAAATTAGGAAATGGTTGCAGAGCTTTAGCCCACTCGACCATCAGTAACAGAGTTGTGCGCGAAATCTCATTGAGGTCCTGAAGTTATCGGAAATATGAGAACCGAATTGTAGAAGTATGAAACCAAGCCAGACTAACCTCAGCCGTACAAGGTTTATTTGGCTGTGAAAATGCTGAGGTGGATGGTTCACCATCACTGCTAAGGCCAGTAGTTGTGGTGGCTGGTTGCTGTATGACTGAGTTGCGGTAACGAGAGCACATTTCCTAGAATGTTTGCATACTACTGGGTTAGATGATTGAAAAGCTTTAGGCTAAGCGTTTAAAGGCAGGGTCCCGGCAAATTTAGGATTTTTGAGTCTCATCAGATATCTCTGACTAACTCCCCAGATTTAGGCAAATAATTTGCCGTGGTAAGGGAGAAAAATATTTAGATCAACCCGCTCTTTTTATGTCAATTCGTTCACTTAGTGATTTCCTCCTCAGCACCGCGCGTGTTTCGTGTTTCTCCCAAAGCAGTGCTATATAGCGAAAAAAGCATGTCATCGCTCCCGGGTCATGTCAAAAATTTCAAATTGCCCCTCTACCACTCGTCCTTGTCAATCAAAAAGGGCTCGAAACGTCTATTTCTTGACAATATCAGGTAATTGAAGTCGTAACGTTCAGCACACCAAAATGTCCAAAGGTGGAAAAATCAGAGTCTGAAATTTGTCCGGACACTGCCTCAAAGATTTCAAACGGGATTAGGTGACGAACCATAAAAACACTTTGACCACAAAAAAAGCCATCGCCAACCTGATTCACTCTATGCTCCATGTCCATTAACGCTGCAATGACAGGAGTTTGATTCTCACTGGCTTGTTCCTGACCAGGAGCAGGACTAACTCGGGAGCGTTTCGACGGGCTGCCACCGGTAGGATCCCGCTCAAACTGAATAGCTGGAATGAGACAAGCAATAACCATGATAAATTCATTTTCGAATTTCAAAAACTGTATGGCCAAACTCGCCTTCTCTTTTCATGCCGACTCTAACACACTTATTGAATCTGCAGCATCGGCACGCACATCGCATGCTCTTGTCTACAACACACTGATGTTTGAAGCGGCACGTGAATTTTTGATCACGAAGTACCGTACGACGAAAGAAACCCTGAAATCAAAGATGACATGTTTTGTGACTTCAGCAATTTAGGAGTAGATGTTAAGATGAGAGAAAACGAAAGGCAGGCTACATTGGATAGCATATTTAATACTGTGTTGAAAATACGATGGATAAAAGTCAACAGTGCATTTCCGTCAACTTTAAGTCTTATTTGGAATGAATGTTAGATTTCTAGCACTTCTGTACTTGCTTTATGTCAAATTGTTAGAATTTGATATTCAATATTGTCAGTCATAGTTGTCATATTTTTCTTAGTCATCATTCCTACAAAAGGTTGTATCACCGCAAAAAACTTTGGAGACAGGCTCGTAATGTTGTTAAGAAGAGAATCATCTTAACCTTTCTATGGCTACAAAGTACGAGAGCGCCTTTGATGACGATATTTAACGATGACGACGCCTAATGATGTCGTCGACATAATTCGCATCACTGCTACCGACTCGATTACTAATCAAAAAGTGTGAAGGCCTAAGGCCTAAGAAAATACATAAATTTAATGGGATCCTTAATTACCGCTACGTGACAACTGACACATTCGTTTTGTGGTATATGGTGGACCTTCTATGATCAAGTAGTGGTCGACTAAAGTTCTATGCACAGTGATTTATA